GTCGAATAAAATCAATATCACATTTGCACTCGTGTGATATTACTTAAGGCGAGACACTACAGGTGAATAGGGTCATTTTTTTAACTAGCAGATATCACCATGAAACTTTCCCAGTTGATTACCTACATTAAGATGAGAAAAAAATGTATTACAAGTTTTCTGTAATTTAATGTTTAAATATGCAAATTAGGCATTATCTAATTAAATATGCACTAATTTGCATATATTTAAAAAAATGAAATCTGAGTATTGGATAAAGCCAGGTTCAAAATTCTTTTTTCATTGCGTTCACATATTAGATGGGAAAAAAATTACAGAGGGATTTATGGATATCTACTTTTGTTATCCTGTAAATCAGAATATACTGTCAATAGCCTTAAAAAAATTATTTTCACCATGTTTTTTGGAATAAAATGTTATATAAATCAGGCTAGGAATAATATATTTAAAAATCCCTCTGTAAATGTCTTCATAACATAACTAGGTACAAGACTGGAAGGTTTGGTGTATATAGGTGCTACTGTAGTGGAGATTTCAGACGTGGAGTATGAGAGAAAGGTCATTTTGAGAAAAGGGGCTTTAAAGATTTAGCATCAGCCAATGAGATTGCGCATTTGCGCCCTTTTACTTTCACGATTGGTTGCTGATAAAAAGGAAATGACCATATTTGGATCCGACAGCATTGTACAGGAGAGAGAGAGCTTTCTAACGGTGTGTGTGCAGCGGGATGATTTAGATCGCCAACTTTTGATGAATTTATGAGAAATCTACAGACACAAACAGACAAAGTGTCGTAAAATAAAGACCTAAATGTGTATTTCGGACTTTTTTTCACCACAAGTCTGAAAGAAGACATGTTATTGAAGACAAATCCCAAAATCTCAAAATTGACCAGTGAAAAAAACCCCCGATGTTTTTACCTGCCGTGTCTCGCCTTAAATATATAAGAAAAATATGAGACCAAAACTCATAAAGGGGCATATATATATATATATATATATAAAATAATAAAAATATATATATATATTCAGATTTGAGACTTGCTCGTCCTCACCTGAATGAGAGAGAATATGAGCTTTGAGTTTGTCCGGCCTGTTAAACTCTTTGGTGCAGCCCACATGAGTCCTGCAGAGGAAAGACAATAGAAATAATGAAACGTTGCCATGCGACTGATGTGCCGATCTGACAGCTGTCACTCACCTGAAGGGACACTTGTACTTCTTGAAGGGTTCGTGGATCAGCATGTGCCTCTTTACTTTGTCCTTCCTGTTGAAGGTGGCTTCGCAGACGGAGCATTTATACGGTTTCTCCCCTGCAGAGCGAGAAAACCTCACTTAACATCACTGGAGTTCATCAGATGCTCCATCAAAGCAGATTCATTCATTTACTCGTTTGTTTTTGGAAAAAGTGCCCCTATTATGCTATTTTAAAGGTTCCTAATTTGTTTTGGAGTCTCGTACAGGTTTACATGCATTCAAGGTCAAAAAACACGATTCTGTCTCTCTAAACCCCGCCTTTCCGCAAGCTTCCTCTGCTCTGATTGGTCAGACGACTCAGTCTGTTGTGATTGGTCTACTCTGCTCTGATTGGTCAGATGACTCAGTCTGTTGTGATTGGTCTACTCTGCTCTGATTGGTCAGACGGCTCAGTCTGTTGTGATTGGTCTACTCTGCTCTGATTGGTCTACTCTGCTCTGATTGGTCAGACGGCTCAGTCTGTTGTGATTGGTCTACTCTGCTCTGATTGGTCAGACGGCTCAGTCTGTTGTGATTGGTTGACTCTGCTCTGATTGGTCAGATGACTCAGTCTGTTGTGATTGGTCTACTCTGCTCTGATTGGTCAGATGGCTCAGTCTGTTGGGATTGGTCTACTCTGCTCTGATTGGTCAGACGACTCAGTCTGTTGTGATTGGTCTACTCTGCTCTGATTGGTCAGACGACACAGTCTGTTGTGATTGGTCTACTCTGCTCTGATTGGTCAGATGGCTCAGTCTGTTGTGATTGGTCTACTCTGCTCTGATTGGTCAGATGACTCAGTCTGTTGTGATTGGTCTACTCTGCTCTGATTGGTCAGATGACTCAGTCTGTTGTGATTGGTCTACTCTGCTCTGATTGGTCAGATGACTCAGTCTGTTGTGATTGGTCTACTCTGCTCTGATTGGTCAGATGACTCAGTCTGTTGTGATTGGTCTACTCTGCTCTGATTGGTCAGACGGCTCAGTCTGATTGGTAGACCGCTTTCAGCTTATTGATCTTTGAAATTTGCAGACTTTTTACATTCACAAACAGCATTATTATTACACACTGCATGAAAGGTCATATCTGAAAAAGCATACTAGGGGCAATTAATCATTTCTGATGCAATTCATATACAAATTATATAACTAGCTACATAACAATAAAACTGCATTAAAGAGTAAAGGACATTTCCACCAAATAAAGCGTCACACCTGAGTGGATCTGTGTGTGTAGTTTGAGGTAGTGCTCGGTTTTGAAGAACTTTTTACAGATCTGACACTTGAATTTGCCGCCGACGCCGTGAGTGGAGAGATGCCTCCGGAAATACCTCTCGCACGGAAACACCTGCGACATGCAAACACACCGACAGTCTTCATTCTTCAGTGCGATTCTTTTCAGACTCCTTTCGCTATTGTTGACTAAATCTTAAACTAAAACTCTTAAAAGTCGTTAACTGAAATAAAGCTAAAATGAAATAAAACAGGTATATTAGATAAAAAACTTAAACTTAAAAAAACTAAATGAAAATTAGAAATGTTGCCTTTGCAACAATTGTTTAAGCTGAAGTACTAAAATTACTAAAACTGACATAGAAATAAACAAACAAAAAAAATGACAAAAGCACAAAACTACAAAAACTTAAACTAAAATTAAAACAAAAAACTGAAAATATAAAAATAAAAGCTAATTCAAAATAGTAATAAATACTATAGTTTAATATTAAAAGTGTTAAAGGGGTCATATAATGGTACATGCACTTTTACAAGTTGATTGTACTGAAATGTGTGTTGGCAGTTAGGGATGCACGATATAGGATTTTGGCCGATATTCGATATGCCGATATTTTCAAACTAATTTTGCCCGATGCCGATACCGATATATTTGTATTTTTTTTAAGTGCAAAAAAAACTTATTAAAGCTTCTATTAATGTTCTCAGTCAAGAGCAGTGAGTGATTTCCTCTGTGTTTTGTTGTTTTATTAACATTAACGGGATAGTTCTCCCAAAAATTTAAATTGTCATCATTTACTCTCTCAAGTTTCTTTCTTCTGTTGAAATTATAAAAGTTATTTGGAAGAATGTGGCTAACCAAACAGTTGCTGTACTCCAGTGACTTTCATAGTATATTTAAGCACAAGAAAGAAATGAATCCAGGTTTGAAACAACATTAGAGTGAGTAAATAATGACAGAATTTTTATTTCTGGGTGCAGTATCTCTTTAAGAACAAGCGGCAGAATATTATAGATACTGTCTCTTTAAGAACTGCACGCGACGCGTCTAATATACACGCATTTGACAAGCAGATTTTCTCTGTTTGCTTTCACTTTAGACATAACCAACTTTGTTTATGTAAACCGTGTGTGTATTTGACAGTATTAGCGCAATAAGACTCGAAAGATTAGTCCAGTATGCAGGCGCTGTGACAGGCTTTTAGTTCCTGTGAGCGTCGGGTGTACGCGCTCAGAAAAGCGGATGTTAGAACAGCGCATCAGCACGTGAATGACATGTTTAACTAGCAAGACTTTGACGCACATGCAAACAATGAACTTTTGTGAATTGCGGTGTCCCGTGAGTGTAACTGTACCTCTGCGTTTACATGTGATGTGATGTGAATGTACGTCGCGTTGTACAGTATGTTGAGATGAAGGCGCCAGAATTGAACTGATAGAATGCACGATACTATGATTTTTCTTCAAAAGCAGATCGTGGAGACATTTTAATCGCCCACAATCAAAAACCGCGTGAGACGCACGGCACACCCCTAGCTGGAAGTTTAAGTTGCTGGCGCTCATGCTTCGTTCGCGTCACATGCGCATAGGAAACACGCCACCCTATCGGCAAGACTCATCGGCAGAAATATTCATATCGGCCGATGCCGATGATGGTCATTTTAAGCTTTTATCGGCCGATACCGATGTTGTCCCGATATCATCGTGCATCCCTATTGGCAGTGTCTGTACACAACCATCATATAATGATAAAAATCCATCCAGTGTTTTTGTTTTAATCTCCTTATGTTTTCCCCTGCCTCAAATCAAGCCGTTCGACCGTGTGACGTCACACGGTCGAACGCCCCTCCCGCGATTGTTGATTGACAGCAGCGTTTCAACACAGACCCGCCCTCGCTCGTGAGCCAGCTGTCAATCATAGTCCGGCGCGGTCATTGTTGATATGCTGGAGCACTGTCTATGAGCAGAATGGCGTCTAAGCGATTGTGGTGTTCTGTTCTTGGGTGTAATAACGAACACAGCAGTCATTTTAATGTTCCTAAATCCGAACCGCTGAAGACGCAGTGGCTGAGTTTGTTTTCGAAGGGAATATTCCCCACGAGCAACGTCAATGCTCTCATGTTTGCGCGAATCATTTCTCACACCAGACTGCTTATAAAGAGGAGGGTCAGTATAAAGCTGGTTTTGCTAAGAAGCTGCTCATGGACCAGTACCAACTATTCGTGTTCCTGCTGAACCTCCAAAATAACTGAAGTGAGTGTAACGTTTTATTAATCTTTAATATTTATATTAATCTTTGCAAATAGCTAGCTGCACGCTTCACAATGAATGCCTCTAAGGTTTACACTCAGGGTACATTACGGCATGTTTTCTATGTAGACGTTCTCAATATAATTTATAATCCCACGTTTATAATGAACAACGCGTTTTGGTTATTGTGTTACAAACGGTGTACACAGAACAGAGAGGCGGAGTGAGCAAAGCTCATGATCATTTAAAGTCATATGCACTGAAACGGCGTGCTGAAAACAGAGCTGTTTTTGACCAGGTAAAATAAGTGTTTTCTTACAATACTAATGAGAACTTTTAATTAAAGTATATTACAAAGTTTTAATTTAGACTCTAAAGAATCATATTAGCTTGTACAAAAATGGCATTATATGACGCCTTTAAAAATAATTTTCGTTCATTTAAATAAAACTGAAATATAATATGTATATTGAAAAACTTAAACTTAAAAAGTACAAAGAATTACTAAAAGTAAAATCAAATGTTAAAAAAGCTAATTCAAAGTATTAATAAATACTATAACAGTGTATGAATAATACTAAAACTATTAAAAATAATTTTCATTACCTGAAATAAAGCTGAAATAAATTATGAGTTAAACTTAAAATTACTAAAACAAACTGAAATAAAATAAATTAAAAATAAATAGAAATATTCAAAAAATAATAATAAAAAACTTAAACTCAAGTATTAATATTACTAAAACACACTAAAAATTAAATTAATTAAAAATAAATAGAAATATTCAAAAAATAATAATATAAAACTTAAACTGAAGTATTAATATTACTAAAACAAACTGAAATGAAATTAATTAAAAATAAATATAAATATTAAAAAAATAATCATATAAAACTTACACTGAAGTATTAATATTACTAAAACAAACTGAAATGAAATTAATCCAAAATAAATAGAAATATTTAAAAAATAATAATATAAAACTTACACTGAAGTATTAAAATTACTAAAACAAACTGAAATTAATTAAAAATCAATAGAAATATTAAAAAAATAATAATATAAAACTTGCACTGAGGTATTAAAATTACTAAAACAAACTGAAATTAAATTAATTAAAAATCAATATAAATATTTTAAAAATAATAATATAAAACTTACACTGAAGTATTAATATTACTAAATCAAACTGAAATGAAATAAATTACAAATAAATATAAATATTCAAAAAATAATATAAAACTTAAACTGTAGTATTAATATTACTAAAACAAACTGAAATAAAATAAATAGAAATATTCAAAAATATAAAAGAGCAAGGGCACATAACATAATTACAAAAGGCTTTAGATAAAATGAAGATGAAAGCTGTGAATGTAAGCGGTAACTGTAGCATATAGAGTACCTTCATGCAGTGTGGACAGGGGTAGTTGTGTGTGGCGTTCAGCAGATGCTGCTCCAGAGCTTCTTGTGTAGAGTATTTACTCTGACACTTCATACATCTGAACACAAACACAACCAGTTCAAACAGGAGCAGTTGAAGATCACAGTTCAAAACACGTCAACCTAAATCTAAAATATCTTAAACTGTGTTCTGAAGATGAACGGAGGTCTTACGGGCTTGGGACGACATGAGGGAGAGTCATTAATGACATCATTTTCATTTTTGGGTGAACTAACCCTTTAAGGTGTTACTGTTTACATGAAGGCTTATTGATAACGGATGATTTGGTTCCAGTGTGTTTCTGATTCCTGCTGGTGTGGTGTCTGACCTGTAGTAGTTGGTCTCTTTGCGCTGGTTCTGTTGCGGACAGAAGCTGTGTGAGTACTGGTGAAGGCCGAGCTCGAAGAGCGACGGGAAGACTTTACTGCACTGGTGACAGCGGTACGTCAGATGCTCCTGGTGTGTGTGGATGTGCTCCAGAAACTGATCCAGCTTCTGAAAGGTCTGAGAGCAGCTCTTCACCACACAGCGGTACACCTGCACAACAACATCATCATGCGCTTAGATTAACTTTATCCGTCCATAGGGTTGGGAATCGAAAATTCCCATTCCAATTCTGCATTTATTTGAAATAGAATCTTTTGTAACATTATACATGTCTTTTTGATCAATTTAATGCATCCTTGCTGAATAAAAGTATTAATTTCTTCCGAAAAAAATCTTACTGACCCCAAACTTTTGAATGCTAGAGTACAGTATGTTTTTAAAAGCATCCTTAAAACAAGCCTTCAAAGCAAAACTGTGTTAGATAATTACATGTTTTCACAGAATACATCTTTAGTTGTTTTTTTATTCCTTAGTAGATAAAAAATGCTATAATAAGGTTAGAAAAAAAAAAAATCTTATGCATTTTTGCTTCTCAAGTTAAATCATCTAATTTTCAATGGAAAACAAGTAAGACGGTTGATATTTCATATTTGGAGCTGTCTGTACTTGTAAGTGTTGACAGATGTGGTACCTGCTCGTTCTTGTGCTGGGTCATGTGAGACTTCAGCTGGAAGTATGTGCTGAATTTGTCCGAGCAGAACTGGCACTGATATGAGCTGTCGATGAGGATGATCTGCTTGTTCGTGTTCGTCTCGTCGCTTTGCTTCTCCTCCGTCTCCTGGACCTCAGCGTCCGGCTCTTCAATGGCTAAAGACCAGGCCAGACCAATGAGCTTCAGATATTATATCATTTCAGAGCACTGGGTATTGACACGAATTTAACGATTCGATTCACAAAGTTACGATTCAATACCAACCCACACACACACACACACACTCACTCACACACACACATGCGAACGAATATATTTTTATGTATATGTTTTTTTAAATATACAGTCAAACCAAAATTTATTCAGATTCCTTCAACATTTCTCACATCATCACAGTTTATTCGCTATAGTTTAGAAGATGTTAATAATATGAGTTATCAGATCAGTGGATATTTCACTGGTTTTGTCCGTCCTTCTGTTAGACTCTCACACATGAATTATGTTGAATATCCACATGGCTATTCCTGATTGCCTATCGGAGACACCGGAGAGGCCAGACGCAGAGAAAGAAACCATTTCGGCTCTTATTAGCAAACAACCTTTCCACAACAAAATCAATATATATTAAGCTATTCCATTATCTGAGCTGTTTTTTCATTAACATGGAAAACAAAACTCCAGAACAGGCATCAAAACGAGTTCCGTGTTCCGTTTCGGAACATTGGAATCCGTGGAATAGATTGAAAATTCCGTGCTGATGTAACGCCACGCCGAGCAAAGACCATTTGACCTTTACATTAGGTCAGTTGTTTGGTGGGAATGAGGTTGCCATGGTCACTGAATGGATTCTGTCGGTAAACAAAGATTTGTTCTTTTCCTCTTTCCTTCGGTAGCGGCGCCTGAACTCAGATTATCTGTCTAACACCCTCATAAAGCCTCGATAATCACTCGTAAATCACTGTAAATACCCTGTGAAATCAAGAGAGTTTTATGGCGTTTAGTGCCTGTCTGTCAGCTGCGAGCTCATACACTCAAGAAATGTGTGTGTGTGTGTATGTGTGTGTATATGTGGTTATAATGCACCTGAAATTCAAGATATTAGGACAAAAATGGCCCTGAATGATTTTTTTGTCCCAGATTTTTATATTATATAGTTAAGCAATATCACACGAGTCCTCTTTTTGTTCCGAATAGCACAAGTGAAAATGTGTTATTGATTTTATACAACAGTTCAATTAATTGTAAGTTAGTATTGTGTTGTACTTCAGACACAATATTGTGTTTTTGCTAATTTTGGAACGAAACAAAAATATGACCTATAAAGCCATAGAAGAAGTGTTGTGCGTTTCCGAGGAACACAGCGGTGTTTCGTTTCTGAATGAATCCGCATTTTGAGCGAATCAATCGGGTGAATCAATGATTCAATGACTCATTCATAAAGAGAGGGGACATCTGGAATCCTCTTTTCAACATACAATTGGGACACACTTATTTTAATCTCACATACTGTTTAGGATGGATATTGTGGACACTGAGACGCAGGGAGAGCCATTTACTTCATAATGAATCAGCCGTTTGAACGAATCGAATGAATCAATGATTCAATGACTCACTCATCTAGACATTTACTGCCACCTACTGGCAGTTTTACTTTCTTATTTAGAGTATTATTTAATTAAAAAGTGATTTGTTTTTGTTTTTAAATCAAATGCAACACAGTTTGCTATCTAATTAAAACAGTGATCGAGATATTGCTTAGTTTCTTCCTGTCAGATGCTGTTTGACTTTTTTTGTCTGATTCCAGATCAGACACTGGTGTTGTTTGGAGCTGCCATGTGACTGTAGTTTCCCAGCATGCAGTTCTCTGCAGCTCAGACACAAACACAACGTGAGTCAGTGAACAGCAGGAGCTTTGCACAACACGATCGTTTCAAAGCTTGCAAAGAGGACCTTCAGTTTCAGTACCTTTATTAAAGATGAGTAATAAACCCAATATGTGTCACATTTTCCCATCTAACATCTACTGATAAGCATCTGAAATACAAGACCTGTGTCTCATATCTGATGACTTTGTGTCAGTTTTTCAAAAGATCAAATGGGTTTGTGTTTCGTTCAGAAGTTTGGGGTAAGTACCATTTTTAATGTTTCTGCTGCGTTTATTTGATCAAAAATACAGTACAAATTGTGAAATATTATTACAGTTCAAAATCAATGTTTTCTATGTGAAGATATTGTAAAATGTAATTCACTTATGTGATCAAAGCTGAATTTTCAGCATCATTACTCCAGTCTTCAGAGTCACATGATCCTTCAGAAATCACTCTAATATGATGATCTGATGCTCAAGAAACATTTCTGATTATTATCAATGTTGTGCTGCTTCATATTTTAGTGGAAACATTTGTTTTCATTATTCTTTGATGAATAAAGTTTTTAAAAAATCAGCATTTATTTGAAATAGAATATTTTGTAATATAAATATCTTTACTGTCACTTCTGATCAATTGAATGCATCCTTGCTCAATAAAAAACTCTAGAGGAGAAACATGGGATTACTTGATCATTTTAAAGGTGGATTGCGCAACTTTTCATGTTAAAAATACCTGTTTTTCTATCCTATACATGCTTAAAGAACTGCCTGATGGGCTGAATGAGCCCTTCTCTGCGCACTGAGATTGCCTCTATAATCCTGTACAGTAAAATATATAAGAGGGATTCGGGCTCGAATTTGAGACTGGGCGTGACGTCATGCACGTTCACGCTCACCAGGCTGTGTCTCGCAGGTTTGTGTATTCGCCGCCATTCTCCGCATCAGCGAAGACAACCCGTGCGTCAAAGGTAGAAGATGGATTCAAAGAGACCGGCTTGCTGGAGTTTATCAATCTCCATTTGAGATTTTTTATTTTTTCCCTCCTATTTTTATTCGACAAAAACAATGAGATTTTGATAAAGTTTTTATTTTTTAACTACATTTTACTCTCGTCTTGTTTTTTCAACGATATTGCATGTTGATATAGTCACGGTTATCTTTTAGTCTCATTAACACCTCATCTTAGTCATGGAAAAAAGGTCGTCAACGAACATTTTTCGTCATAGATTTCGTTGACAAAATTGACACTAGTCCTGCCCATACGTTGTCCGCCCTACAAATAATTAAAACTTATTGGAAATAGATCAAAAGATCAGTTTTAAGAGATAACATGATTGACTACAGGGGGACTTTAACCGGGAACACTTCCCATAAATCCTGATGTACTCGTTACATCATAAGAAGGATGGCGTCTACGCTAATATTAGTCTCTCTGTTTATCCCGAGGTTTACCGCAGTCCGCCGGATCCAGACCTGATGAAGAAGGACCTGCGCCTGGACACACACACACACACACACACACACTCCAGATCTGATGAAGAAGGACCTGCGCCTGGACACACACACACACACACACACTCCAGATCTGATGAAGAAGGACCTGCGCCTGGACACACACACACACACACTCCAGATCTGATGAAGAAGGACCTGCGCCTGGACACACTCAAACACACACACACTCCAGATCTGATGGAGGACCTGCGCCTGGACACACACACACACACTCCAGATCTGATGGAGGACCTGCGCCTGGACACACACACACACACTCCAGATCTGATGAAGAAGGACCTGCGCCTGGACACACTCAAACACACACACACTCCAGATCTGATGGAGGACCTGAGCCTGGACACACACACACACACTCCAGATCTGATGGAGGACCTGCGCCTGGACACACACACACACACACACACACACTCCAGATCTGATGGAGGACCTGCGCCTGGACACACACACACACACACACACACACACACTCCAGATCTGATGGAGGACCTGCGCCTGGACACACACACACTCCAGATCTGATGGAGGACCTGCGCCTGGACACACACACACACACACACACACACACACTCCAGATCTGATGGAGGACCTGCGCCTGGACACACACACACTCCAGATCTGATGGAGGACCTGCGCCTGGACACGACGACAACGCAGTCCTGAAGTGTCGACTAAAATAAAACGTTGTCCAACTGATTCCAGTTCACATGGATACGCGGAAGCGACAACAAATTCTGTATTATGAATTTTTAAGGCCAGACAAGTAATGTGTTGAGGTCAATATGTAGAGAAAGACTACACGCCTGCGCACATATATATTCAAACGCGCATACCTATAGACTAGACGCGTACTATGCATGTGAATTTCACAGATTCGCGTTTTTGAAGTTTACGTGGAGATGGTAACGTTTTTCAAAATGTTTCAGCGCTTGCACCTGGAACCGGTTTCAAGGTTTGCGTTCTCGAGCACAAACACTGTTGTGCGGATAAGTGTTTTCTGTTAGAACAGTGTGTGTTAGCGGTAGCTTGTAAGTTAATAACTAATGATCTTTACAACGGAAGTGAATCAATCAAAACTAACTTTATCTGGACAATAACTTTATTCTAGAGCTGCTGTAAAGCCTAAACTAATCTGTTACTGTAATCTATTATCACTGTAAAGCTGCTTTGAAACAGTTTATATTGTTAAAAACGCTGTATAAATGAAGGAGACTTGACTTTAAAGTGGAAGTCCACACTAGAGGCTTAGGGTGTTTTCACACCTGAGAGTCCACACCAAGGTCCGAACCAAAGTTCACGTTTTGATACATTTTATACTTTCAGAAAGTTTTGGTTTGGTTTCACACTGCAGTTATGCGAGCGCACTAAAGAACTTTACGTGACACACTCACGTCCTGTCGTCATCATCTGTGTGGGCTGCATCTCGACATTGATTGGTTTGTAAATGGACGTGTGTGTGTGACGTCAGCGTGTTGTCAATTCAGCGGGTAACTTTGACAACATGAATGAACAGACGCATATCGTAGCAACTATATTGTTATTTTTATGGCATAATTACCCGCAGCACCAACTATACACACGGCTAGTTCAAATTCGCCAAATGAACGTCCTCGTCGTGCGAACATTTTATCGAGTTGACTTCTTATGTCATCAGTAGGGGTGGAACGGTACACAGAAGTCACGGTTCGGTTCATACCTCGGTTCAGACGTCACGGTTCGGTACGATTTCGGTACAATGGAGTGAATAGCAAAACAAAAATGCAGAAGGCTTTTTTATAAATGTCTTAAGCCTTGTATTTTTTTAAATAAGTTTTATTAATAAAGGCAGAGAACCAGTTTATTTGTAGTGCACTGACAGTAGTTTTATATCATTAGTTTATTAATTAAATTATTAAAAAGACGAAAAGACCTTGAGATATGTTTGGTAATTGTACCTGAATGAATTTAAAATTAATTTGCTATTTCAGATCAATATATTTGTTTTCCTTCATTTTAATTAACCCTAACTTTATTCTCATCTGAATTATAAATAATTGATTTCCGTATAAAATAATACTACCATTAAAAACTTTTGTTAAAGGAGCTGTATGTAGGATTGTGGCCAAAATTGGTACTGCAATCACTTTCAAATTACTGTAGAGCGGTGTATCCCCTCCCCCTCCCCCCTGACTCGAGGTTGCCAGATAGGCTGCAGGATGCAGCAGGAATATAGGCTGCCACAAGGAGCTTTCAACTAGAGCAGAGCTGGCAACCCGGATGCCGAAACACTACTGACTTCGTGATTGGAAGATAGGTGGAGGGTGGGGCTTCAGGCCAAAACACAAGATGACAACATCAACATCAGTTGAGGGCTGCAACTTCACTTTTTAAATGACAATATCGTGGCCGTACTACTGTTGTCAGTGATATAAGTATTTGAAATGGACATGATTTCTTAATGTCTAGAGACACATCAGGGCCATTTTATGATTAATTGAAATACATTTCTTACATACAGCTCCTTTAACAGTTGTAGGTTACAGTTTGACAAGAGTTTAGAGTGTGACAAAAGCACAATGTTGTGTTTATTTGTGAGTGTACACAAATACAAGTAAACAATTTGCCGTTTTAATGATGTCCTGTATGAAAAAATGACGGAGTATGTTTTTATGTTTCCACTGTTCGATCGCTCTTGCCTCTCTCTCTCACACACACACACACACACTGTTCGATCGCACGATTCGCGGCGCGCCCGCGCCCCTCTCTCTCTTGCACGCGCGCACACACACACTGTTCGATCGCGCGATTCGCGCCCGCGCCTCTCTCTCTCTCTCGCACACACACACTGTTCATCGCGCCTCTCTCTCTCGCACACACACGTTCATCGCGCCTCTCTCTCTCTCGCACACACACACACACACACACACTGTTCATCGCGACTCTCTCTCTCTCGCACACACACACACACACTGTTCATCGCGCCTCTCTCTCTCTCGCGCGCACACACTCCAGCATTGCAATCTTGATCGCAGCCTGTTCATTGCTGCGTTCACAGTCACACCAAAAGCGAATAGAGCGAAATTTATCGCTATTTAAGAGGTTTTTTTTTATTTGTATGTGTATTCTCCGTGCAAATTCGTGCACCGAACCGTGACGCCCGTACCGTTTCGGTTCAATACGAATACATGTACCGTTCCACCCCTAGTCATCAGACCATACTTCAATTAAAAACCTTGTCTCCTCCTCCCCCCATGTGCCACGGCTCATTTCTCCTGCCAGCTTCTGTTTTTTTCGGCTATGCGGGAACCACAGGAACTTCCTGTAAAAGGTCTGAAAGTCCGAACCATACAGAAATGCTTTCACACTAGAAACGAACCAAACCTTTGTTCAGTTTGATCCGGACCGAGACTACCTCTTTTCGTCGGACCAAATTTCAGGTTTCACACCTGTCATTTTGATTCGGACCAAATTGGAAAGTCCGGAGCAAACAAGGTAGGTGTGAAAGGGCCCAGTGTGAAACCAAACCAAAACTTTCTGAAAGTATAAAATGTATCAAAACGTGGACTTTGGTTCGGACTTTCAGGTGTGAAAAAGCCCTTAGTAGCCCCTAGCTGGTCTGTAACTGACTCTGGACGGCCTCGTGTGATCTCACCTTGCTCGTGCTCCTCTTCCTCCGCTTGCTGTGAGTTCTGCTGGTGGCTGAGAGGAAGCACGCGGACAGTGATGGGCATCCTCGAGGCGGTGCTGTGAACGCCGGCGGGCCAAACCTTGTGCGTCTGCATGTGTTTCTTCACGTTAGACTTCTGGGCGAAGGCTCGGCCACACACGATACACTGAAACGGCTTTTCACCCGTGTGACTGCAGAGAGGACGAGGAGAGCGTCACCACGGCGCTGTTTACCTTTGAATTTCATGCCGTTAATATGAGTTTTAGACCCCTGATATAAATCGTATCATTTACCTTCTTATATGTTGCTGGAGGTCAAAGTTCTTGGTAAACACTTTGTCACAGTAATTGCACTTGAGCTTCTGGGCTTTTCCTTTGGTTTGTCCTGCTGGAACAAAATAAGGCTGTTTTTACTTTAAATAAACCAGTCATGTCACACATTTCCTTCAATGGGTGCTCTTGCCATTGTAAGTTTTGGTATGTTGGTAAGTTTTTTTTAATGTCTTTTAAAAATCTGCTCACCAAGGATGCATTTAGTTGAACAGAAATACAGTAAAAATTGTGAAATATTATTCCAATGTAAAATCACTGTTTTCTATGTGAATATATAGTAAAATGTAATTTATTCCAGTGATCAAAGTCTTCAGTGTCACATGATCCTTCAGAAATCACTCTAATATGACTAATTCAGATTTATATGACTATTTATTTGAAATAGAAATCTTTATTAACTTTGTCACTTTTGATCAATTTAACACATCCTTGCTGAATAAAAAAAAAAAACTTTGAACAGAACTATTTGCTTATTGAAACACACAGTGCATATTTCAGCAGGTTTGCTGGTGTAGATGATGTATAAACTACCATCCTGTGTTTTCTTGGAGGTTCTGGCTCTCTTAGGGATGATAACCTTGTCGTATTCGCCCAGCTCGGAGAGGCTCGTGCTGATGGTGCAGCTCTTGTTTTTGGCGGTGTGTTTTCCTGGACTGTAAACCGGAGCGGCGCTGAACACCTGGCCCTCCACACACTGACTGGGGATCTGTCACGTCAGGTCAGTAAATGCATCAGTATATCTATGTGCATATGTGTTTTTATTTATTAACCAGACAAGGCCTTGATTTATTAATAATATGCAACACCTATTTAATGCTGTTCACAAATACTTTTAGAGAGAATATAAATATTAGTGCTGTCAAATCGATTAATCACATCTAAAAAATGTGTAAATGTATGTATATATATATATGTGTGTGTGTGTGTGTATATACTGTGTATATATATTTACAAACTTTTGTTAGATGTATTAATGGCGATTAATCGATTTGACATTATAACAAATTTACTTACAAAGGCACAAATTTATTTTCAACCATTGTTGTTTTTGTAAAGTAAAACAAAAATTATTTTAAAAAATATATAATTTTAATTGAAATAAAGCTAATAATAATAACATAAAATAAAAATATACATGAAAAACTTAAATTAAAAATGTTGCAAGTAATGTTATTGTGCTACAAATACAAAACTAAAATAAATAAATTAAAGTTCGATAGAATAGAAAAACAAACTATTAGCAGTGCTGTTATTGTTAACTAACACTTAAACTTTTAAAAATAGTTTTCATTAATTAAACAGAGCTGAAAAAAGTCAATATTAGATGAAAAACCTCAAATTAAAAAACCTGAGAAAATTATGTTAAATGTTTTCTATGCAAATAACTGAAATAAAAAAGTGTAAGTTGAAGTACTAAAATTACTAAAACTGAAATAAAATAAATTAAAGCTAAAATAATATTAAAAAAACAAACTGATACAAATAACAAAAACACATATAATAATTACTAAACCTTAATCTAAAATGGAAATATAAAAATAAAATCAGATTCAAAATAATTAATTAAGTAATACCATGATGTTATATAAATAATAATACTAAAATAACACTTCCTACATAACAAAATTGCTAAACCTTAAGCTAAAATGAAAATAAAGAAGCTAAAAGCTAACTCAAAATATTAATAAATACTCTAATAGTGTATAAATAATACTAAAAATAACACTGTTATTTACATTAATAATCTAGGTAATAATAATATTCAGAACATGAAATTATATTAGTTCAGATTTTACAATCTCTGTCAAACTGTCAAAAAAAGCTGTATTTTAATACTGGTGAAATTAGCATGACGTTTGTGAGCGCGTGCGTTACTGTACCTGGATGGACTGGAAGGACTGAAGCCCCAGTGCGGGCACCTCCGCAGTCCCGCCTCCGGCCATAGAGGGCAGTGTGCTGTACACCTGCACCACTGAGTTACTGTGGCTGGAGGACACCTGTGAGGAGAGGGGCGTGGCCTGTGTGTGGGGGAGGGGCTGATGATGGTGCTGGAGGTACGAGGATCCCGCGTGCATGCTCAGATTGCTCTGAAAAACACCATGTCAAAGGTCACCATTTCATTTATCCAATCGAGTGTGCAACTGGTGAAGTGTTGAGTCCCAGCAAACTTACTGTAATCAATCAAACTGATTATTTATATAGTTAAAGCGAAAGAAATTGCATTTGTAGGTATGTTTTGCGACATTGTTCATTGTTATTAAGCAATAAGGCATAATATAATTTTTTTTTTATTACAACCATGTCATGTCAAAATTAATTATTTTCATAGTTATCGAAGTTTTTTTATTGAAAAACATAAAAAAAACATTATCTCAAATCATTTCGGAAAGCTGTATGCTATGCTAACTAAGCTAACTAAAAAAGCACTTAGAACGAGAAATGTTTCATTTCACAATCTATAACTTCAGTTATATACTAGTATATGAAACATATAAGTTAAAAACATTACTGGTCGTTATAACATAGTTCAAACGACTTGTATAATAAAGAGATATCTTATTTATAACCAGGCACTAAAGCGATTACCCATAAATTGTGCTGTGAACCAATCGGATCTCTTCACCACACAGAAAGCAAAAACTCTATTGATAACCTCTTATAACTTATAAGCTTTTAAATAAAGCTTTTGGTAATTGATGGTTTATGCTTTCCCATTTGCCATTGCATGTTTAAAACAATAATATCTTAGTAAAAACCTAAAGTAATATTGCCAAACTATATATCATTTGAAAGCTTAAAATCTCTTGTTTTCATATTTGGTGGCTGTTATCTAAAATAAATTACAGAGGAGCAGTAATTTATCAATTTGCAACAAGAATATTTCATATTCATTAGGAGTATTTAGGCCTTTATTTTGAAAAAACAATAAACACGAAAAATCATGAAAGATTGGTAGAAACCTCAGTTTGTTTTCATGCCATGAGTTCAAAAGATAACACCAATTCCATTTTATGAGAAAAAAAGGTCTGAAAATGTTTTAAATATAAAGAAAAATGTATGGATTCTCGATTTGTGATTGGCTGCGAGCTATAACGCTATAACGTAGTCTTTTTATGCATTTATTAGAGGTTGAATTCAAATCAAATACTGCCAAACCACCCATATTACTTCTGAATAGGATGTCTACTTCATAAATTGTATGAAAATGATGAAAATACATGGTTCAGATCACTCAAAACATATATGAAAATGGAGATGCCCTTATATGGGCAGTAATGGAGTCTAGTGAAAAAGTTGGGTACTGCGCCCAAATAAAATCTTACTGAAAGCTCATTTTTTTAGATATCAACCTAAAATTTGGAATACAACTTGTTCAGATTTTTGTCTTTAATTTTCTTGCAGTTTTAGAGTAAAATATATTTTGTAATATATATATTTTATATAAAATATTAATTATATTTTTACATTACACAATTTCATAAACTCAAACTTATATAACTTTTTTTCTGTTTCATTTTTTATAATTTCTAGACTTCTAAAATAATCTGGAAAATGTGTTCTTTAAAACAAGACCAGCCATAGGTCTATATTCCAAAGCATTCCTGAATTACAACCATTTAAGTTTGGATAGTGATTTTTATGTCTATGCAAAAAAAAAGGGGGGTGACAGTTAACAGGTTAACAGCAGAATTCATGGTGAAAAGCTTTATTACTCGTGATGCTTTACAGAAAACTCAACCAATCAGAGAGTCACGGTGAGCAAATTGTGCCAAAAGAGCTCTTTAGCTCCGCCCACTTCCATGAAGCACAGCTAAAGTCGAAAATACGCTCTCAAAATACTTAAATATTTGTGTTTTTATATATATATATTAGTGCTGTCAAACCGATTAATCTTGATTAATCCATCTAACATAAAAGTTTGTATACATATGTGTGTGTATGTATGTATTATATCTATATATATTGCAATAAACTTAAAATAGTTTCTAAAGATACAATCAACAACTACAAATAAAGTTGTATATTTCACCATCATTTTTTATTTGATAATATCATTAGCAATGCTTCATGAGATTGTAGTTCTTTTTCTCATTAAAGTCGTTAAGTTTAGAAAAAAAAAATTCCCCTCAAATCAAAGTTTGTAATGTAATGATTCTCCTCGTAGCTTCATGGCTTATTATGCTTTAACAAAGACTTTACGGGGGAAATGAATGGGGAAAATCCCTCCGGAACTAATGCTGTTGAAAAAATGGGCGGTACTAATGCACAATTCTTACTGTGCGTTCACACCGGACGCAGATCACGAAATTTACACGCGTCACGAGCGTCGGATTCGAAACCCGTTGGCGGCCATCTTTTTTATTTTGATCGAGCATTCATCGGGAGAGTCACCGCTCTGTATTTGCTCTGGAGAGCAGAACAGCGGCGTAGGGATCATCGTAGCCGTGTTTGTGTCCACCAGACCCTTCGGAGGCGAACCCAGTTTGGCGAGTTTCACCATTTGCTCGCTCCAGGAGCTGCGCCTGGATGACGGCCGCTTTCAGCGGTACTTCCGCCTGTCCCGCGCCCAGTTTGATGACCTGTTGTCCCGCATCGGAGCGAGGATCACCCTCGCCCTCATCCACCATTTATTTTTGTGTTGATGATAAATGGAGCCAGGCTCCAAAAGTGATTAACCTGTCCTGTGATTTTTTCTCTCTCTCACACACATCACTGTCCAGACACGAACTTATGCACTATAGTATGTTGGTTGTCTTTACATTATAATAATATTTCATATTATCTAGATATGGAATAAATAGCATTCAATACAAAATGAATGTCTCATATATTGAAATCAAGTTTTATGTGATAAAATATTTGCTTTGCTGTGCATTAGAACCACACAGGGATTTAGTCATATTACAAAATAATTTATTGAAGCATCCAGACACTTCACCACGTGACAGCAGCAAGCAGCTAAGCTCCTGATTGGTTAACGCGGCGCGAATTGACGCCAAAGTTCAGATTTTTCAACTCGGGCGGCAGACGCGAATTCGCGTCAAACGCTTGATGCACAAAAAGCACTTAATAAAATCATTAGCGCGTAACGCGCCAGACGCTCAATTCGCGCCATTCGCGCGAACTTGACGCGCGAATGAGGCGTATTCGCGTCTACCGCGGACTCTACGCCTCATTCGCGCCGCAGGAATTTTTTTCGCACATAACGCGTCTTTGCATTGACTTAACATTGAAATCACTCGCGCCTGACGCGCTATTCGCGTCCAGTGTGAACGCACCATTAGTCATTATGAAATCATTTATATGTGCACATTTTTTTTATTATTATTATTCATGTTCCTTGTAATCTTGAATCAGGATAACTTCCCCTTCCTCCTTCACAGCATCTCTTCTCTGATGACGAGGGCGGGGCAACCTGTCACTCACATCAGATCCACCAATAGCAGACCACAACCATCCAATCAAATCCACAAGCCCCGCCCCACATTTGTTCTTGTTTGAGAAGCCGTTTCACTCGGATATACGTCACAGTAGAGAAGAAAAGAATATCACAACTTTTGTTTCATGCCGACTTGACCCCTCACCCAGTGTTTACCTGGACGGATCCCTGCATGGCTGCCATTGGCTGATCCAGAGAGCTGAACGCTGATATGGCCGACATCAGAACCTCGTCACTGACCAACACGTTTCCCTGGACCAGCGTGTGTGTGAGCGGAGACTGCGGCACGGTGATGTACGTCGACACCTTGAGGAAAATACAAATCAATATTAGTACTCGATATCAGTCAGTCTCATGGTGGTTCATAGTGTCTGATAGTGTCTTATAGTGGTTCACAGTGTCTAATAGTGGTTCAGAGTGTCTCATAGTGTCTAATAGTGGTTCATAGTGTCTAATAGTGGTTCAGAGTGTCTCATAGTGTCTAATAGTGGTTCATAGTGTCTAATAGTGGTTCATAGTGTCTCATAGTGGTTTGTAATGTCTAATAGGGGCTCATAGTGTCTAATAGGGGCTCATAGTGTCTAATAGTGTCTAATAGTGGTTCCTAGTGTCTAATAGTGGTTCATAGTGTCTAATAGTGGTTCAGAGTGTCTCATAGTGGTTCATAGTGTCTCATAGTGGTTTGTAGTGTCTAATAGTGGTTCATAGTGTCTTATAGTGGTTTGTAGTGTCTAATAGTAGTTCATAGTGTCTCATAGTGGTTCAGAGTGTCTCGTAGTGGTTCAGAGTGTCAATTTCAGTCAGTCTCATCGTGGTTCATAGGGGCTCATAGTGTCTAATAGTGGTTCATAGTGTCTAATAGTGGTTCATAGTGTCTAATAGTGGTTCATAGTGTCCAATAGTGTTTCATAGTGTCTAATAGTGGTGCATAGTGTCTGGTAGTGGTTCATAGTGTCTCATAGTGGTTTGTAGTGTCTAATAGTGGTTCAGAGTGTCTAATAGTGTCAGGTGTGGTGGAGGTGAAAGGAGCGAGGACTCAGGTGCAGAGATGATGGGTTCTTTAATGATAATAACAAAACAAAAATACAAACAAAACTACCCCGTAGGGGAAAACAAATGACTTGACTTGACTTGGCTGACTTGACACAAGGGGTAACACACCAGGTACATACGACAACGAAACAGCACAGGACTGCAAACGCAGGGAGAATAAATAGGGAGACCAAACAAAGGAGGTAACGAGGGAGGAAAGGTGGGGCAAATGAATCAATCAGGTAATGAGGGAGGACAGGTGGGGCAAACAAATCAATAATCAGGTAACAAGATGGGAGGGGCTAGACAATCAACAGGGGAGCACATGGCACAAGGAAACATACATGACAAGCCATGTGCTCACACCAAACGTGACTTGAACACAAGCACATGGCCAGTAAAACCAATCACCAGCCATGTGCTCACACAAAACGAGACATGAACACGCAGCTAATGAAAACACTCATAAGCCACGTGTTCACACAAAACATGACACCATGAAAGCACACAGCTAGTGTAAAACACAAGCTGTGTGCTACACAGCACAAGACACGAAAGCACATGAAACAAGGCACAGACAAGATAAAACAGGTGTGTCAGGGCTCTGTCACAAAACCAAGAAATAGACTAGACAGAAGTGACAGAACCCTGACAAATAGTGGTTCAGAGTATCTCGTAGTGGTTAATAGTGTCTAATAGTGGTTCATAGTGTCTGATAGTGGTTCATAGTGTCTCATAGTGGTTTGTAGTGTCTAATAGTGGTTCATAGTGTCTAATAGTGGTTCAGAGTATCTCGTAGTGGTTAATAGTGTCTAATAGTGGTGCATAGTGTCTGATAGTGGTTCATAGTGTCTCATAGTGGTTTGTAGTGTCTAATAGTGGTTCATAGTGTCTAATAGTGGTTCAGAGTATCTCGTAGTGGTTAATAGTGTCTAATAGTGGTTCAGAGTGTCTCATAGTGGTTCATAGTGTCAATTTCAGTCAGTCTCATTGGGGCTCATAGTGTCTAATAGTGGTTCATAGTGTCTCATTGTGGTTCATAGTGTCTAATAGTGGTTCATAGTGTCTAATAGTGGTTCGTAGTGTCTGATATAGTGTCTCATAGTGGTTCATAGTGTCTAATAGTGGTTCATAGTGTCTGATAGTGTATCATAGTGGTTCATAGTGTCTAATAGTGGTTCATAGTGTCTAATAGTGGTTCTTAGTGTCTAATAATGGTTCATAGTGTCTAATAGTGGTTTGTAGTGTCTAATAATGGTTCATAGTGTCTAATAGTGGTTTATAGTGTCTCATAGTTGTTCTTCAGCAGGTGAGCTGTACCTGTCTGTTAGAGGGTCCAGTGCTGATGGACGGGACGGAGGTGTATGCGTTGTTGGAGGCCAGAGAGACGGTGGCCAGAGACGGCGTGTTGGACTGACACTGTTCACGCTTGTGTGTCATGAACGCCGGTAAAGAGTTGAACTGCTTCTTACATTTCCCACACAGAAAGACGTCATCATCATCTGCAGGTGTCATGTGACATACAAGAATAATCACAGAGTTTTGAGAAAAAAGAACGGACTGAAAAAGCATTCAGAAATGCATAATTACTATGTATATACTACAAATCAGTGTTGTTATTAACTAAAACTAAAATATTATGAATTGATTTAGGTATTTGAAATAAAGCTGAAATAAAATAAATATTAGACAACTAACTGAAATAAATAAGTTGAAGTGCAAAAATTACAACTAAATAAAAAGACAAATGAAAATGACAAAAGCAAATTATTACTAAAACTTAAACTAAAATAAAACTAAAAATATATAAAATATTTTTAAATATATTTAAAAATCATTATATATGTATTTACAAATTGTATCATTAGTTGTTATCAATAACTAAAACTATTATTAATCCTTTTAGGTAATTAAAATAAAGCTGAAATAAAATATATTTAAATATTAGATGAAATGAAAAACAAATGTTAACTTAAATAAATAAGTTTAAGTACTAAAATTACTAAGACTAAAACTGAAATAAAAATAAATGACATCTAAATAGAAATGTAAAAAAAATTAAATGCAAAAACGCATGACAAAATGACTAAAACTTCAATTAAAATTACAATTAAAACAAAATAAAAAAAATATTTTAAACAATACTAAGAAATATTTAAATACTACTAAATATTTAAATCAATACTATGTATATAAATATCATTGTATCATTAACTAAAACAATTACTAATTGTTTTAGGTAAATTAAATATGAAGCTGCAATAAAATATAAATATTAGATAACTTAAAAAACCCTGAAACCTAACTTAAATAAAATAAGTTAAAATTGAAATGATAAAATGACTAAAATTGAAATATACAGTATATATATATATATTTAAACCTTAAAAGAACTAAGAAAAAATTCAAAAATAAATAACCAAATTACTAAGACTTAAACTAAAATTAAAATATTTCAAAATAAAAGCTAATTCAAAATATTAATAAATACTATAATAGTATATAAATAACACTGATACAAATGCACACTTTGCCTTTAACAGACAGGTTACATATACTACATTATGATAAACTAGAATTTGTAATCATATAAATGCATGAATGAGTCTCACCCATTGGCTGGATGGTCGTTCCTGAGACATTCTGTGAGCCCGGGTCCAAAACACCACCTTGACTGTCTAACAATGACTGGACATTGAGCACCGTCTGATTGTCCATGCCTTAAACAGGACAAATATGACATAACCAATAAATCAATCCATCAATTATTCAACAAACCAACCACTTACTACCTGACAATGTGGCCAGTTCAAAATCCATTACTGGACTATTACTTGAGTTATAGTATTAATAATCATTATGACTCTCTGGAATACTTGATTCTAATTGGTCAAATTGGTAAAATGACACTAAACTGATTCTCAAGCACTTGTTTCCTACATATCTGTGCTAGTTAGTTGTCGTTAAGTCCCTTTCTTTGCATATATATTATGATTATTGAAACTAAAATCAATATTTCACACTTATTTCCTTTTTATTATATATTTATTATTTATTTGTTTAATTAATTCTATATACAGTATATAGTCCTGTCAAATCGATTAATCACATCTAATGTCTAAAGTTTGTATATATACTGTATATGTGTGTGTGTGTGTGTGTGTATATATATATATAGTATATGTGTGTGTGTATAATATATACACATATATATATATATATATATATATATATACACACACACACACACACAGAGAGAGAGTACTGTATACATACATTATATATTTACAAACTTTTATGTAAGGTGTGATTAATCAATTTGACAGCACTATATGTATATATAGTATATACACCGTGTTGGTGTAATGCATTACTTAATAATTTATTACTGCAATTTAATTACTTTCCCCTTGAAAAAGTAAAGTATTATTATTTAATTACAGTTACTTCTGATGTAATTGCATTAAATACTGTATAGACTAGAACAATTCTATATAAAACAATAGTGGGTTTAACATCTAATGTTAAATGTATGTTTTTAATGTAACATTCTCCCTTTAAACACTTTGGTCAGTTTAAGAGCAATTTATGCAATTTTATATTATTTATTTGAAATAATTAAAAGAGCAGTTTCATGTCCATCCTTGATATACATACACAAACACCAATCATTTAAAAGATTATCATAGAATCAAATGACCATTTCCTTCTATCATACTACCAAGTCTACCATCAGTTTAGGAAAAGAGAACATCTGTAACATAAAATCAATCAATTGTGGACACAAACATAACTACTTATACTTATATGAATAGCTATTTCCGCTTAAACATGAGAGAGTTCGTGTGTTTAGTGGCTTTTCCAGTGACGTGTCTCTCTCCCTCCGCCATGATCGCACGAGGCTGTTATTCTGATCGCTCTTCCTCCCTCCTCTACATCAATCTCTCCTCAGATACTTCAACTCAATACATCACATACACCGCGACCCTGTGCTATTATTATTATTATTTAAAAATTATTTTAAAAATACTCTTTTACTATTCAAACACAATGACATTTACATGAAGCGAAACAACTGTGTAAAATGTGTTTCTTTGGCCTGTTCGTGTCGCGCGCGCATGCATTCTCACTGCAAACATCAAATAATACATTATATTTTGTGCATATGCAGGAGGATTTTAAATAAAGTGCATTAATACCTTCCAGAACCTCAAATATTGCCTGCGCCATCTTGTAGCTCCTCTGTGTATAACGCCAGCAGTGGGCGGGGTTTATCATTATTATTACAATATTACAATCATTCACACTGAACTGAAAGTTTACATGTTTTAGATAGATAGATAGATAGATAGATAGATAGATAGATAGATAGATAGATAGATAGATAGATAGATAGATAGATAGATAGATAGATAGATAGATAGATAGATAGATAGATAGATAGATTTTTTTTTATTTGACAGTGGCCCTGTTACATATGTTACATGTAGTTATTATAGTAATAACAGTCAATTGTGCATATGCAACTGACCCTAAACCAAACCTTAACCCTAACAACCTTAATTATATAGAAAGTATGTAGTTAATTACTATTACTTAGTAGTTAATTGTATAACACTGTAACAAGCACACCTTCAAATAAAGTGTAAACTGTTACTAAGATGTCTATGTTTTTTTATACATAAAGGACTTAAAGTGAATTAAAGCTTTAATAATCTTTAAATAGATGTTTTAATAAATTACAATTAAATGTGAAATATATATTCATATATATTTAATTAGTCTAAATCATCTTTCTAATGTGTGTCAAAACAACATGATTTAAATTGTATTTGATATCAAATTAATGCTGACTACAAAGATCACATAGACTAATAAAATTCACAACAATTTTATAATTAGGGACCCAAAAAGCTTTATTGCACGATTAGATGAAAAGATAAGCAAGATGGTTCTTTATTTCTCTATATATTTATAATGACATTTCCAACTGATTGAAGTGACTTTCATAACGACGTTGTTTATCTATCATCATTACTCATTCAAAAAAAATAGATACAATAAAATAAATCCAAAGGCGTGCGTGAAAATGTAGTTTTCCATTCAAACAACTCTTATTTTTAAAACAAAAATAACGCGCAAAAAAAACACACAAAAAAAAACACAGGACGCCGTTGAGTGACAGCTGCTCCAGCCAACCAACGGCCTGGGAACTCTGACGCGAGGCGCGAAGGACGCCACTTCTCAGCCAATCAGTGCGCCGCACACTGGCACGTGCCAGTTTCGCGGCAAAAAAGATTTGGCGCGTAAAGCTTATAGCAGGTTCCGATCAGCTGGAACACAAAAAACAACAACAACAAAAGTGATTCCGGTCGCGTCGCGCGCAGGGACAGTCGGACCGCACCTTCCCTCTGTGGCCATGGAGTTAAGCATTTCATGAGCGAAGATCTGGGGGTTATTTTGAAGTTATTGACAATACTTCCTGGATGGAGTCATTAAAAAGGACAAAAGCGAAGGATATTTTGGATTAAAGTTTCAGAGGAGTACCGAAACCGGACTTTGGCTTTGTTCAACATCTGGATCGGGTTATACAGTTATTTTTACTTCATCTACAGCCATTTTACCATATTAATTACACCTTTTTTAACACGTTTACCAATGCTCACGTGAGAACAAACGTTGTTTCTCTTGAAAATACCGCAACAACATCATTAATTTGAGGATTATACTGAATGCGTCCATGTTTTATGCACTTTAAAAGTTGAATTTGCATTGCAGCTTGTTTGTGATGTTGTTTATTTATAGTGGACTATTTGTTATGCTTTGCTGCCATTTTCAAAAGCACTTCCTTAAACAAAGGATTCACAACTATAAACTCATCAGGCATGTGAAAAACATCTCAAGTGTTTATCAATAACATGCATGGCGTAATCCTTAACTTTTACTAGAGTAAAGTGGATATTTTAGTTTTGCACCCTGAGGTTGACCTACATTTCTGGCCTTGTGGTTCGGGAGTCTCACCCATACGTTCAGCCCAGGCCTGTTTTTATCATGCGTTTCAGTGTGCACTTGTGTGAAACCTGTCAGAACATGGTTTTTACATCTCCACTGAGTCCAGTGCTCTCTCTTGTGCATGCATTTTAAAAAAGCAACCCGTTCCCATGCGCTGAAGGATTGAGAATAAACCCGGAGCCCAAGTAACCCCCTGCTGTTTTAGCACGATATGTCTGAGAGTTTTATATCGGGTCAGACCTCGGAGGATCTGCTGGCTGATTTTGAGTCTCTCTTGAACAATGGCAGCATTGATCTTAGTGAAGATCATCAAATCGTCATCATCTCCACCCCGGGCACGGCCTCGACCAGCTCTGCCACGGGGGACTTCTTGCTGTTCGCCACCCCGCACCACAGCGCCACGACCGGCACGACCCTGGACCACAGGAGACCCGCTCTGGGCAGACCACCGGTGTGTGTGTGTGTGTGAACTAGAGCCTTTGGGGTTCCACCTCACATTCTGAGCATTCCAATCAATCATTTATTTCTAGAGCACAACCAAAGTTGACCAAAGTGCTTTACAAAGACAAAAAAAAACACAAGTAGTAAAAATAATATACCAAACGAGCCAAAATAAGTAATACGCAATCAGTAAGAATAAAAGAGAAACACACTATGGAGTGTTAAAGGGATAGGTCACCCCAAAATGAAAACTCTGACAGTAATTACTCTCCCTTATGTTGTTCAACCCCGTAAGACTTTCGGTCATCTTCAACACAAATGAAGATATTTTTGATTAAATCTGAGAGCTGGATCATTCCTCCATAGTCTTCTAAAGGATCGAAACTGACCGGCCCAGAAAAGTTATGAAAGACATCGTTAAAATAGTCCGAGTGACTACAGCGGCTCAATCTTAAGTTTATCAAGCGACGAGAACACTTTTTGTGCGCAAAAAAACAAACAGAAATAACGACTTTATTCCACTATTCATTTCCTTCTCTGTTGGCCTCGAGTGAGTTCACGTAGTGTAACAGCGCAGCGCTTCTGGGTTGTACGTCACACGGAGGCTCACTATTGGCCGACGCTGGTCACGTGTGTGTGTGTGACGTACAACACAGAAGCGCTGCGCTGCTACACTACGTGAAATATCACAGCCCACAGAGAAGAACATGAATAGTTGAATAAAGTCGTTATTTTTGTTTGTTTTTTGCGCACAAAAAGTATTCTCGTCGCTTGATAAACTTAAGATTGAGCCACTGTCGTCACTCGGACTATTTTAACGATGTCTTTAATAACTTTTGGGCCGGTCAGTTTCGATCCTTTAGAAGCCTATGGAGGAGTGATCCAGCTCTCAGATTTCATCAAAAATATCTTAATTTGTGTTCTGAAGATGAACGAAAGTCTTACGGGGTTGAACAACATGAGGGAGAGTAAATACTGACAGAGTTTTCATTTTGGGGTGAACTAACCCTTTAAGGGTGAGCCAGTAAGTCTTAAATTCCATTTTGGAATGTTCACCTCTGGAAGTTCCGTGTGGCTCGGTGTTCCAGATCTGACCCGGTGACCCACATGCTGCAGGTTCAACTCCAGAAGGAGTGGTTCATGATGACCTTCAGATATAAGTTCAGCTCGGATTAGTAATGGTTTTATGTTGTTATTAGAGTAACATTACTGTTGTAGACATGGATTTGAAGATGTTGTTGTTCTCTGTGACTGTAGGTGAAGAGGAAGCTGGATTTGGACAGTGATCACCAGTACATCTGCACGTCTCGATCGGCTTCTCATGGACCAGCTCCTCCAGCTACACCCGCTCCACCCAGAGGTACTGACGCCTGGCACTGTGCTCCATATTAATAGATACACTAGCGTTCGGGCTTGTTTGAAGTCTCTCTCTATTTACACAGGAAAATATGAAATATTGCACTTTAAAATAGCTGTTTTCTATGTGAATATACAGGTGAAACTCGAAAAATTTGAATATTGTGCAAAATTTCAGTATTTCAACTTGAGGTGAAACTAATATATTATATAGACTCATTACATGCAAAGTGAGATATTTCAAGCCTTTATTTGTTATAATTTTGATGATTATGTTTTACAGCTTATGAAAACCTTTTCACAATATTCTAATTTTGAATTTGGGGTTTTCATAAGCTGTAATCCATAATCATCAAAATTATAACAAATAAAGCCTTGAAATATCTCACTTTGCCTGTAATGAGTCTATATAATATATTAGTTTCACCTTTTAAGTTGAATTACTGAAATAAATGAACATTTGCACGATATTCACATTTTTTCGAGTTTCACCTGTATATTAAAATGTAATTTATTCCTGTGATCATTTCAGCATCATCCAGTCTTCAGTGTCACATGATCCTTCAGAAATCACTCTAATATGATGATTTGATGCTCTAGAAACATTTCTGATTATTATCAATGTTGATTTTTTGAACGAATGGAAAGACCACTTATTAAAAAAAAAACATTTATTTGAAATAGAAATCTTTTGTGACATTATAAATGTCCTTAGTGTCACTTTTGCTTCATTTAATGCATCCTTGCTGAATAGAAGTGTTGATATCCCTCCTCCTACTGTAGTGCAGATCTGTTTTTAACATGAAATCTGCTTTTGTTGTTTAGTCCCTAAACTGGCCACGGAGAAGTCCCGCTACGACACGTCTCTGAACCTGACCACGAAGCGGTTCCTGGACCTCCTGGCTCAGTCTCCAGACGGGGTGGTGGACCTGAACTGGGCGTCTCAGGTGCTGGACGTCCAGAAGCGGCGCATCTACGACATCACCAACGTCCTGGAGGGAATCCACCTGATCTCCAAGAAGTCCAAGAACAACATTCAGTGGCTGTAGGTTCTTCACTGTGTGGTTGTTTATTTGCATGCAGGCTTTGAAATGAACACCCGCAAATGCTGGTCAAATCAACTGTGGCGAGTAACGCTCTCAAACCACCAGCCAATGTGGTGTTACTTAATATATTAACTCTATATTACTCTATTACTCTACTCTATATTGCTGGGGAAGTTCGTGTAAGCAAATCTGCGCAGATTTAGAGCAAATACTCAACTCGAGTCCTCATGATATATTAAACACAGAGTATTGCGCAGAATTCATTTCTGGCTTACTTGAACACACACGTCACTGCACAACAGATAACGGCACGCTTGTTCATTTGCACTGGAGCAATAGCGAAGATTAAAAGGCATTTGGTTAACAGAAAACACATTGTTATTTTCCAACATTATACTTTGTTATTGATCTGTCCAGCTAAAACACATTTTTGGTGATGATAGCATGGCTGACAGGATTTTGTTTGAATAAGAAATGAATGTATGAAATCAAAATTTTATAATATATATATATATATACAGTGTATATACTGTATATACATAGTTAATCTGGTTCATTTCTTTTCTTTCTTTTTTTTGGCTAGTAGAAGTTCTGAATGGCCGGTAACTTAAAAATTTAGTAGCCAAATTGGCCGGTGTGTGAAAAAGTCAATTTCAAGCGCTGTGTGTGTGTGTGTTTGCTGTGTCCTCAGGGGGAATCGCATCGACGGGGCGTCCGTGGCCAGGTTTCAGGAGCTCCAGAGGGAAGTGTCCGAGCTCACGGAGGCCGAGGAGAAACTCGACGAGCTCATTAACAAATGCAGCTTACAGCTACGGCTCCTCACAGAGGACACACACAACAAGAAATATCCTTCATCTCAAGCGGCCTATCATACACCCGGTGCAATGCAACAAAAAAAACCTAAAACTTTTTTGCTAGTTTCAGCCCGACGCAGTTTTCATTTTTTCACGTCCTGCGCCTCGTTGTTTAAATAGTGAATGCATTTGCGCCCGTTTGTTCGCCCATGGCCTGCTGGTCTGAAACCGAGGTGTGTTTGTTGGCGTGTTGCTATTTTGAGGAACTGAAATAGACTGAGCCGTTGACCAACTGAACCTGCTCTAGAGTCAATGGCACAGTATATTTTGTTATTTAAAGGGTGCATTAGTAATGTGCGCCTATAGGCAGGTCCACAACGCTCATACACTCTGCTTATTACACACACACACACACTCTGCTTATTACACACACACACACACACACACTCTGCTTATTACACACACACACACACACTCTGCTTATTACACACACACACACACACACACTCTGCTTATTACACACACACACACACACACACTCTGCTTATTACACACACACACACACACTCTGCTTATTACACACACACACACACACTCTGCTTATTACACACACACACACACACTCTGCTTATTACACACACACACACACACTCTGCTTATTACACACACACACACGCTCTGCTTATTACACACACACTCTGCTTATTACACTCACACACCCTGCTTATTACACACACACACTCTGCTTATTACACACACACACTCTGCTTATTACACACACAGGGCACACAAACTAGCCAAATATTACAAATAAAAGGATTACAATGTAAAAGATTAATATTGTGTACATAAAGATATGGTGGAATCCGGCTTGTCCCGTAAATGGTCTGCTTGTGCTTTAACCTCACACACACACACACACACACACAGCTTTAACCTCTCGCATGAGCAGATCCGTTTCTTCGCTAGAGACGCGTTCAGTTTTTCTGCAAACTCCTCGATGTAAATAGCGATCCGCCGTGACGCGAGCGCAACTGGCTCTTAAAGGGAATGTGAGATGAGACTCTGATTGGTTTATTGCACGTTACGCCCAAAACACACCCATTACTCATTAAGAGAATAGAGACAACACACACCCATTACTCATTAAGAGAATAGAGACAACACACACCCATTACTCATTAAGAGAATAGAGACAACACACACCCATTACTCATTAAGAGAATAGAGACAACACACACCCATTACTCATTAAGAGAATAGAGACAACACACACCCATTACTCATTAAGAGAATAGAGACAACACACACCCATTACTCATTAAGAGAATAGAGACAACACACACCCATTACTCATTAAGAGAATAGAGACAACACACACCCATTACTCATTAAGAGAATAGAGATGACCCTTCTAGACCGTGCGCCGGGAGCGCCGACCATTTTTCCCGTCGTTAGACTAGCAGAAGTGTGTTCAGACAGTAAGTGCGCTTTAGACCATGAGCTTAGATCGTTAAAATAGGGCCCAGTGTGTCCGTGTGATAGAGCAGAGCATGATCCTCTCACAGTGTCTTTATTGCAGTCTTTCTTCATGGGTCTGGGTGTAGATTTGAGTCTGGGTTCGGGAAATGAGGATCTGAGGAGCTGAAGTAGACTCACATGTTCAGTATGTGGATATTGTGATCTTTAACGCGAAGTCAAGCTTGGGTACGTGAGGTGCCAGGACCTGCGGGACACGGTGGACCCTCCGGAGCAGATCATCATGGTGATCCGAGCTCCACCAGAGACGCAGATGCAGGTGTCTGAACCCAGTGAG